CTCACTCCCCGCCTCTCCCATCTGATCTCTTTGCCAGCTTCATTTCTGTAAACAGCACTTTGACTTGCTAGGTCTAAAAACTCAGTGCACCTTGTCTAGTAATCTAGCATTTGCAGGGAGAGGGCCTGCACGATCTAGAGCAACCCGCAACCCCACGGAGACATTTCGTTTACCGTTGCCCACGTGCAGGGTTGCCGGATTCTGCTGGTTTCGATCAGTGTCGTTTTTTCCCACCAGTGTTACTGAAGTGACACACAGCTAACGCCAGGACACGTGACGGGAGGTGCATTCTGACTACACACAACATTGGCTGTGAGAGCCGTGCGCTCCTTCTGCATCCAATCACAGCGCGGTTATGGTTCAATCGGCACCTCCACACACACACTCCAGGTGCACAATAGGGATGTAAAATCCTATTTAATTGGTTAAGAAGTTAGAGGGGAAGGTAGGTGGGGGGAGGGTCACTCCAGCATGGCTGGAATGGCCCCCTCACCCGCTGCTGGGATGCCCCCACCCCCGGAGCAGGCCCTGTCCATGCTGGGGAGCTGTCCAGCCTTCACCAGTTAACTTTAACCTGTAAGCCTCCCCCATTAAGGTAAGGCTCGCCGGTTAACTGGTTAAACATTCACGTCCCTGGTATGCAAGCGCTGTGAGCAAAACTAGCCTGTCCCGGGAGACCATCTTGGTGACAACAGCCTTGCGGCCTACTGAGCTGAAGAAGAGCCGCTCCGGCAACCTTGGCTAGTGAGGGGGCCACCAATCGCTGCGCTAGAGAGTCATTTTCATCTGCGACTGCTGGGACTTTTGGCTGCCCAACAATGCTGAGTCTGTATGAAGACTTCACCCACATCCAAAGAACCTCCCAATGCATGGGCCAACTATTCTGCCTTGTTAGCACAGCCGCTTTGTTCTCACCCATCTTCATGGAGCAGGTAAATGCCATAGCAGAGGGACGAGTGATTTCAGTGCCAGTGGCTGTCTGAGAAGCTGATTTACCACTTCTCATTGCTCAGTAGAAATGAAATCCTTGGTAAACCACTGATCCTGCAGCCGTTGAGCCTGGTTTGAAGGTCCATCTAGTCCAGCATCCTGTCTGCCAACAGTGGCCAATGCCAGGTGCCCCAGAGGCAGTGAACTGAACAGGTAATGATCAAGCGATCTCTCTCCTGCCATCCATCTCCACCCTCTGACAAACAGGCTAGACACACCATTCCTTACCCATCCTGGCTAATAGCCATTCATGGACCTAACCCCCATGAATTTATCTAGTTAGCTTTTAAACCCTTTTATAGTTCTAGACTTCACAACCTCCTCAGGCAAGGAGTTCCACAGGTTGACTATGCGCTGTGTGAAGAACTTCCTTTTATTTGTTTTAAACCTGCTGCCCATTGATTTCATTTGGTGGCCCCTAGTTCTTATATTATGGGAACAATTAAATAACTTTTCCTTATTCACTTTCTCCACACTACTCATGATACCTCTCTCATATCCCCCCTTAGTCTCTTTTCCAGGCTGAAAAGTTCTAGTCTCTTTAATCTCTCCTCATATGGGACCCATTCCAAACCCCTAATCATTTTAGTTGCCTGTCTCTGAACCTTTTCTAATGCCAGTATATCTTTTTTGAGATGAGGAGTCCACATCTGTGCACTGTATTCAAGTATTCAGTAATGCCTTAAACCACCCAGGTTTAAGTTTTCAGTCCGGAGCAGTAAAGGAGGGGTAGGTCACGTGTCTGTCTTACATTTTAAACTTCCCTTCAGCGTTTATGATTCAACAACTGACGTGGGTGTGTTTCCCTCCTTCTTTAGCTATGTTAGTGCAGATGCTAGCTGTCTTGAAGCACACGCCAGGCCTATATTTAATCTGCCTCTGAAATATGTTTTCTAATTTAGTTTTACTGAATGGGGCAAGAGTTGTCCTTTCACTGGCAATCTCCTACATATCTGCCAAATAATGCAAGTGTAACCTACTGGGTGTGATGATCTGCCCCTTCTAATGGCACGAGATGACTTACAGAGAGAATGAAAGCGCTCTGCAGCCTTAGCTACCAGCCAATTGGCTTTTAGTTCATTCACTAAGCTCCCCAAGTTCCCAGGTTCGATTCCGCCTGTAGGTGACCAGGGCTGTCGGTGGTTACACAAGCCCTGATCCTCGGAGCACCTGTAGAACTTACGCAGTGAGTTGTAAGATGTCTTCAGAAAATGATGAAGCCAATTAAAGCAAATAAAACCCACACAACACGCAGCATGCTTCCAGCTGGGATACCGCTGCCCAGGTAGGTTGGTTTAGGTTTAAGGGGGATTATCAAAACACAGTTTCAGCTCAGTTTTCTAGCTTGGTACCTGTGGCAAGATTTATTTGGAAAAGCTCCTCTGGTAAGTGCAATACATTCTTTAGCTTGTTTAAGTGGTGCATGCTTCACTGGGGGAGAAAAACAGCTGGAGTATTTATGTCGGAAACAGCTCAAAGTACCTTTCTAAAAGCATCCACTTCCCCCCTTCCCCCCAACTCTCCACGGAGGGAGCCTCTTAGTGGAGTTGTTAATGCTTAGTGCAATTGCTTTCCACCACAAGAGCGTGAGCGAATGGAGCACTTGGATGTGTCCTGGGGGGTTGGTGTACCACTGCAAACTAATCTCATTGAAGTCAATAGTAAAATGAGATGCTTTAAAAAGATGCTCCCGGGAGCGGTTAGTGGTCTCACGCAGGCCTCCGGTGGTTTTGAAACACACCCAAAGCCGTCTAGAGTAAGCTGCCACAGCTCGGCCCGTCTGAGCCTACTGCTGTGCCGTACATGTTCAGCACAACCGTGTTCTGCGATGGGATAGATGGGGCATGTCCAAGAGGGTGGGCTTTTATTACAACGGGATGCCGTCGTCTTTATGGGGAGCCGAGGTGCGGGACTTCTCCCCCTGGGCCGGGACACAGTGGATCACAAGCAACGCTGGTACCACCAGCTGTGCTGCCACAGAACTCTTGCAGCATGAACGGGACACAGTGGATCACAAGCAACGCTGGTACCACCAGCTGTGCAGCCACAGAACTCTTGCAGCATGAACAGGGCCTGCATCGGAAGCGCAAGCGAACTAAAGTGTGTGTTCCTTACGGTTCTGCGCTCCTGGGGCCCCTGCCAGTAATTAGCCGCTTGGCTCTCTTAAAGCATCGAGGGTTGGGGTCTCTTTCTGCATTCCTCCGTTACTGAGAGTGTCTAGCCAGAGAGGAAACTAGGCGAGGCGCCTGAGGAGGTGTGGAGGTGCACTGGTGCATGCCTGATGATGAATTTCGATACTAAGAGCTTCCAGCCACATCCTGGCTCTCTATGGTCTGGCTACTATTTTTAAACCCGTTGATTCATTGACCTGGGAGGCGTTAGAGCTGTGGAGTCCCCCCCCCTAGCCACAGCCTGTGCCAGCTCCCGGCCTTGCACAGGGCTCTGCCACCCCGAGGGCCAGCCCACAACATTTTGGCACCTGAGGCGGGGAGCTCAAATGACACCCCCCTGCCCTCTCGCTTAGGCCAAAATTTTGAAAGGTCTCGATTCTGCCTCCTTCCTGTTCTACTCCTCTCATGGTTGCTCTGCTACCTGCATGTGCACCAGCAGCAGACTCAATTTTCTACACTCTGGGTCCTAGTGGCGCCCCCCACAGTCTGGCACCTGAGGTCGCCTCATGGTAGGGCCAGCTCCGGCCACCCCCATCCCTGTGTGGCAGGGGAGGTTGGTGGGGCTGGAGCAGCCCTCCCAGGCTGCAGGCAGGGGGCTGTCCCAGGGGGCTGGTTAACTGTTCCTCAGTAAGCGTCACCAGTCAGGGTGATGCTGATGGGGTAACCGGTTACCTGTTGACATCCCTACCCCAAACCCCTTAACCACCTCATTTATTTGCGTTGCCCTTGTCTCTCTGAAAGACATGACACTGTCAAATCAGTAGGAGGGTGTTGAAATGCCACCAACGCTCCTGCTTCCTACTCTGCCCTGTTCAGCTTCGCATGTCCCCAGGCTCTTTCTGCACCCGCACGGAGTCCTTAAGATGGCGGTTTGTGTGGACATTGTGATAAGGACCAGCTATTGCCTGACTGGCGGCTGGAAAGCAAACAGACTCACCCGCACTAAGTACAGTGAAGGGCTGAGCTGTATTTTAACTCTCAATCACACTTGGTGGCAACAGACTACATGATGTACAGGGCTAGGCCATCAAGCGGCGAAGGTCGATCCATTATTTTAATCACATATTTTATTATTGGCTGTGAACTTCGTTTATGTGCCTGGCTGGCTTCTCTGCAGTGGGGAAATGGTAGAGTAGCTGCTTTTCGTGTGTGTGTGTGTGTGTGTGTGTTTTGCTGGAGATGCAGTTGGATGCTAGCACGAAGACAAGCGTTAGGGGCCTAGCAGGAAGGCAACTACATTTACTTGCCAATCTTAGGGTAAAAAACCTTCAAAAACAGGCTGCAACATCCTGAACTGAAATTGATGTACCAATTTGATGCTGTCAAGTAATTTCCCCTTCAGGTCCAAGTTGAACCTCTCTAATCCAGCACTTTCTGGTTGGGCATAATTTTAGTTAGCCGGGTGGCCACATGTTCTGGATGTGGCTAAATTTCCTGTGGTCCCATAAAGGTTGTTTACAGCCACTAGTCTGGGCTCTCAATGTTCTGTGCTGCTATTTACCCCTAAGTGTCCTCTCAGAGCCCAGTAAGCAGTGGAAGTGTTGGTAGTGCTGCTAGTCAATATTGGCCTCCTGTAGCTGGGCAAATTCTCTGGTTCAGCACCAGTCAGGGTGCAGGACTGGAGAGGTTCAGCCTATACTCTCGTCTCTGTTGGCGCTGGGCCGCATGCACGTCCATTTAATTAGCTCTGATGTTACACTCTCATCTCTGTATCCCTTCCTTTCTGTTTTCTCCTCTTTGCGCATCTGAAGAAGTGAGCTGGATCTCACAAAAGCTTACGCTCGAATACGTTGTGATTAATCTTTAAAGTGCCACCAGACTCCTTCCATCATAAATCGCTCGAATACGTTGTGGTTAATCTTTAAAGTGCCACCAGACTCCTTGTTTTTGCTGAAACAGACTAGCCTGGCTACCCCTCTGAAACCTACGTTTACTTGCTGTGTAATGCAGTCCACTGTGAGGGGCTGAAGGTAGAGGTCTTCCAGTTCCTCAGTTGGAATGAAGCTTTGCAGAGCTTCTTTTTTCAGTTGAGAACTAATTGTTTGGGGGGAGGGGGCTGTAGTGAAGCATCAGGGTGCATATCTAATACATAGGGTCAGTACTGTCTCTGTGCGTCATTTGTGCTGGTCTCCTGGACAGAGGAGAATTTCACTCTTGGTAGGTTATAAATTCCCCTCCTAGTGCCTTGAGGCAAAAGGGTGTAAATTTCACCCATCATGTGTGAGCATGTCTCCCTCTAGTGGCTGCTGCCCATAGAAAGTAACAACTTACTAATTACAGCTAAGACTTTAGCTAAGCTAACGTTTAGCTCAGCTGGGAGGGGCCTGATCATTTGATACGGAAATCCTTGTGTGCCACAGACTCCAGAGTATTTGCTGAATCCATGGTTCAGCTGGATTTGCAAAGGCAGCACTGATAGGGTGTGATGGGGCTGGTAATACAGAGGAAAATTCACAGGCGTTGAAATAGCAAAGTAGCTACTTCTGAAGGGCAGCTGGTCTCTGTAATTCTTGCTTCTGTCTCTTAGGTATGACACAGGGAAAGATGGCTTCATTGATCTCATGGAATTGAAGCTAATGATGGAAAAACTTGAAGCACCACAAACGCACCTCGGGCTGAAAAATATGATCAAAGAAGTAGACGAAGATTTTGACGGAAAACTTAGCTTCCGGGAGGTAAGGCCTTATCTGGTGAGCAGGATCATAGAATTATCGAATCCTACAGTTGGAAGGGACTTCGGGAGGTCGTCATGTCCAGTCTCCTGCCCTCGTGGCAGGACCAAGCACCGTCTAGATCATCACTGATAGATGTCTATCTAACCTGCTCTTAAATATCTCCAGAGATGGAGATTCCACAGCCTCCATAGGCAGTTTATTCCAGTGTTTGACTACCCTGACAAAGTTTTTCCTAATGTCCAACCTAAACCTCCCTGGCTGCAATTTAACCCCATTGCTTCTTTTTCTATCATCAGAGGCCGTGGAGAACAATTTTTCTCCCTCCTCCTTGTAACACTCTTTTCTTCCCTCGAAAACTCCTGTCATGTCCCCTTTCTCTTTTCTTTTCTAAACTAAAAGAGCCCAATTCTTTCAGTCTTCCCTCATATCTCATGTTTTCTAGACCTTTAATCATTTTTCTTGCTCTTCTCTGGACCTTCTCCAATTTCTCCACATCTTTGTTGAAATGCGGTGCCCAGAACTGGACACAATACTTCAACTAAGGCCTAATCCGTGCCGAGCAGAATGGAAGAATGACTTCTCATGTCTTGCTCACAACACTCCTGTTAATGCATCCCAGAAAGATGTTTGCTTTTTTTTGCAACAGTGTCACACTATTGACTTATATTTAGCTTGGGGTCCACTATGACCCCTAGATTCCTTTCTGCCGTTCTCCTTTCTAGACAGTCACTTCCCATTCTGTACGTGGGAAACGGATTGTTCCTTCCTAAGTGGAGTACTTTGTATTTGTCCTTATAAACTTCATCCTGTTTACCTCATTTCTCCAGTTTGTCCAGATCATTTTGAACATCGAGCCTGTCCTCCAAAGCACTTGCAATCCCTCCCAGCTTGGTATCACCTGCAAACTTGCTAAGCGTCCTCTCTATGCTAATATCTAAATCGTTCAGGGTGAGTGCTCCAGGATAACACGCCCACCCTGCTTTGCCTGCTGATCCATGGACAGCATCTGCTCCTCTGCTGGGAGACAGGGCTGTTGAGATGTTTCTCCTCTCTGCCAGGGCAGGACAATGGCTCCTTCACTTGCTCCAGCGTGATCTTTGCACCTTTCAGTGACAGTGTACAGCTAATCACGCTGCCTGAGAGCCCTCCACTGCTGAATGTCTGTGCTGTGCACATTCAGCAAGACTGGCTTTTGGACTAGAAGGTAGCTGGCTGAAAGCCCTTCTGATGTGTCCGTAGGGTCCTGTAGAAGGATGTAGGGATACCATGGGGATAAGTGTCTTAGAGATGCTGGAGACAGCTAGATCTAGGTCAAAGTGGGAGGAGTCGATTTCTAGATCCACCAGCCTGATGCTTTTGCAGTAGCCCAAGGGCAAGGCTTGCCTGAGGGCAACGCCCTCCAGCTCCCTCCCAGACCCTGCACCCCTCCTAAATCTTCCGCCAGGTCAGAATCCTCCCCTGCACCCCCCTCCCAGACCCTGCACCCCGTCCCAGACCCTGCACTCCAATCCTCTGCCCCAGGTCACAATCCAAAACCTCTTCACCGTCCTCCCTCAGGTCACAACTCTTCCCCCTCCCCCGACCCTACACCACCCCCTGTAAACCCCTCCCCCAGGCCAGAATCTTCTCCTGCACCCATACCCCCTCCCAGACCCTGAACCCCAATCCACTGTCCCAGGTCACAATCCCCTCCTTCACTCAAACTGCCTTTCGGACCCTACACCTCCTCCTGCACCCAACCTCCCTCCCGGACCCCTCAGCCCCTCCATAGAAAAGTGCAGCCCTCAACCATTTACCAACACCTCCTCCTGCACCCAGCCTCCCTCCCGGACCCCTCAGCCCCTCCATAGAAAAGTGCAGCCCTCAACCATTTACCAAAATCTTGGAGTGTCCTCCCTCCCCTGTCAAAATGATTTCCCACCCCTGGGTTAACCAGTTGAACATTCACATCCCTCATCTCTGCTCTGCTCTCTCCAGAATGTCTCCCCCCAGTGACGCCCCACACAGACTGGGCTAGCTTTGTCTGTTACACTGTCGGCCCCTGCAGGCACGGATATATTCTGCGCACTCCTCCCATGCCGTGTGGCTAAGCGGCAAGTCTGAGGGGGCAGAGTCCTGTTCAGGGTGCTGCGTTCCTGCAGGCCTCTCAATTCTCCCCAGCATCAGCCTGGTGCAGGACATGCATGCAGGTGCACAGCCCTTTGCATTTAAAAGTCTTCCTGCCTTGCCAGAGATTTCCAGTGAGTTACCCTGGCTGCACGGGGACCCTGGGATGGCAGGCGCTGTCTCGGGACAGCCTCTCTCTTTCCATGCTTGCTTCCCGCCACAGCATCCTCTGCTCTTGGGCTTCTTAATGCAGTCTCTGCCGATCAAAGGAGACCCCCTTGCAACAAGAGAAGTGAGATCTGCGTGCAGTACTTTGTCTTGCTGCTAATGGGATTACATCTTCCTAGCCTACGTGATCTCCAGGCAGCTGTCCTTGCCTGGAAGGGACATGGCTGCAGGCAATCCTGAGCTGCTGGCATTCATGCTTGCTCGCTCTTTGCAATTACAGCGGCACTTGCTCTTACAATACTAATGAGCAGATGTGCAATAGGCATGTGATGCAGCTCAGAATCCTTCACAAGATGAGTGCTTGTGGCGTTTGATCCCACAGTAACTATAGAACATGGTAACGCTGCCTAATGACCTGATTTTCAGCATCTGATCTATCAGCTTCCCATCTTTCCTGGTTACACTGCAATCTCCTAATGCTCTCCTGTGCTTGATACAAACTGTAAGAGGTCAATTGTATCAGGCCAGTCCAGTGGGCAAGAGGAGACTTGACTTCTCCTAGCTCTGCCACTGATGGCTTGGGAACTCCTTGGGAAAGTCTCTTTTCCTGTGCCTCTCTTTCCCCTTCTCCTCTCTGCCTATGGAGTTTGTGAAAGTTCTTCAGGGCAGGATGTTTGCACAGGACCCAATGCAATGGGGCGCTGAGCTCAGCCAGTGATAAATAATCCAGGGGGGATGGGTGGGCGGGTGCACAGGTCTTACGTCTCAGAATTCTCTTCAGCCCTCCCACCACATTCAGCTTGCAGCAAATGTGTGCCTCTTCCCTCCGACAGTTTCTCCTGATTTTCCGCAAAGCCGCGGCAGGCGAATTGCAGGAAGACAGCGGGCTTCACGCCTTGGCGCGACTCTCAGAGATTGACGTCTCCACGGAGGGCGTGAAAGGAGCCAAAAGCTTTTTTGAAGCCAAAGTAAGGAAACAATAACGTGCAAAGTCATATTAGTGCGGCTTGGGGGAGGAGAATTCATGATTGGGGTGGGGGGGGGGAAAAGGGTGGACAGGTAATTTGTGCACCAGAAGTAGTTCACGGTCCTGATCATAGCCTTCTTGCAGGAGGAATAACAGGTAGTTCGATTTAGGGCTTTAATTTGAAATACCGGGTCCCTGCCATGGGTAGACGTGGGCAGTTAGTCTGAACTTGTAAATTTCAAAAAATGGTGACCGGACGGGAAGATGCAAATCAAGCGCAGGATATTTAAATCCCGGGCTTGGTTTGCAACTTCGAATGCCTACATTAGCCTCCCTAGTTCGAACTAGGGGGCTAGTGTAGACATACCCTTAGAAACTAACACAAATATATACAGGTTTGAACCTCTCTCGTCCGGCACCTTTGGGACCTGACCGGTTCCGAACCAGAACATTTTCTGGACCACGGGAGGTCAGCATTGTCTAGCATCATTTCCACCACTTCCACTGCTTACTGGGCTCTTAGAAAACATTTAAGGCGTAAATTAGAACTAAATAACAGCACAGAACACTGAGAGCCAGGACTGGTGGCTGTAAACAAACTGTATGGAACCACGGGAAACTTGGCCACACTCATGAAATGTGAACCTCCGTCTAGATGAAATCATCCCAGACCATGGGTGTTTCTGGACCAGAGATTTCTGGACTAGAGAGATTCAACCTGTAGCATCATGAGCTTTCGTGGGCAAAACCCACTTTCTCAGATGAGCTGGAGAGGGAACATAGTGCCCAGTTGTTCTATGTAACCCATGTGCTTCACACTCCAATTTATAGAAAGCCTCTCTGGAACTAGACCCACCCCACTGGCGTGTGTTTCCGTGTGAGCCCATGGCAGCTGCATGCCCTCAAGGGAAGAACTTGGCTTGCAGCCTGCAAAGCTGCTCCACGTGAGGCTGCTGAACACAGCCGGGATTGTGGTCGGTAGAGGAGCAGCAGCGCACAGACGGCTGGCTAGAAGCCTCGCTGTTGGGCCCCACTCCCAAACCCACTGAAGTCAGTGGAAAAGCTCCGTTAGGCTTCAGCTCGTGCTCGTTAGCAGCAATCCTGCTGCCCATGGCCTTGCGGCGTGGGCTCTTCTGACTCCCTTGCCAAATGCCATTGCATTTCCAGGTGCAAGCTATGAGGAGATCAAAGCCGAGCAGGAAGAGAAGAAAAAGCAGGCAGAGGAGATGAAACAGAGGAAAGCCGCCTTTAAAGAGCTGCAGTCCAACTTCAAGCAATGAGCCGAGGTTGAAAGGGCAACGCTGGAAAGGCCCTGGAGGCGCTGAGCAAACTGCAGTCTGGGAAGCATCCCGAGTGACTTGTGTAAGTGATGGTTGAATGGACCCATCCCTAAAGAACCTTTTTGTCTGTGAATCCAGAGTCCTTGGGCCGCCTTCAGGCACAAGCAGCTCACGCTTTTGTGGATCGTCCTGTTTTCTTGCACTGTCCGTGTTGCCAGTGAAGACGTGGCGAGCCGTTTTCCCACCGTCCCTTTGGTCTGTTCGCTGTTCCGTGGTGGCGTGTGTCTGCGACTTGGGGGGAGGGGGACCTCTGCTTTTAAAAAAAACCCAAACCTTTCCGTGTGCTCTGAACTCGCGTGTGTTCTCTTGCTGTGGACCATTGTGTCATCCAAACCCTAGGATAAGCACTGTGGCTTTGCCCCCGGCACTGAATGTACCGGACTCTGGATGAGTAGTTCCTGCTTATGCAGAAATGCCTCCCGCCGCCATTCGTGTGCTCTGTCTTCTGGAAACGTCCTATGCTTAATGCTTTAAATCACTCCCTTTAATGCAGGGGTGGGCAATAATTTTTGCAGGGGAGCCACTTCACAAATTTTGGTACGTGATTGTGGGCTGGTTCTGGGCCTTCCCAGAAGGGCAGGGGGCCTCGGGTGGGTCTGGGGCTACAGACACAGAGAGAGAGAGAGAGAGAAAGAGAGAGAGAGAGAGAGACTGACTTTGTGGCATAGATTGTGTGTGTGTGGCGCAGAGACTGGGAGAGCATGTGTGACTGTGCACATGACACTGTGTGTGTGCGACAGTGACACAGAGAAGGTGTGCGCTGCCTAAGTTTGAGAGAAGCCATGCTCTGTCTCTTGAAGGGAAATTTGTCCTGCTCTGTTGTCTCCCCACCCCCACGCTCCTCTGAGTTCCAGGCTTCAGACTGGAGCTGCTTTGCTGGCTGTCTCTCCCTCTCCGCCCCCTGCTCTGCAGAGAAGGGGTACAGGGGCAGGAGGACACCCTGACTTGAGCACTCCCCTCTCCTCTGCACAGCTGCAGGATGGAGCAAGGAGGGGGAGGGGAAGTGTGCAAACTCTGCTAATCAGCTGGGTCGGCCAGAGCAAAATGCTTGGAGAGTCGGAGCCAGCCCCTGAGCTCGAGTTTGCCCACCCCTGCTTTAAGGCCCTGTAGCTGAAACCCTTGCAAAAATAATATGTGGCAAAGCCCTCGTTGGCCAGGAGGTGGGAGTGCTGAGTTCTAATCCTGCCTCTGACACTGTTTCCCCATGTGGCCATGGAGGAGTTGCTTTAAGCTGCTTTTTTGTCCATACAATGAGGACAAGGCCAGCTCCTCTCACCACAGGTAGGGACAAAAAGATGCATTTTAGGCAAGGCCTGCCTCTCTGCAAGAGGCTGGGTCAATGTTATAGGCGCTAAGGACTTAATGTTACAGTCTGGGCAGTTCCCCAAATTGCTTTTGGAGTGAGAGTTATATACCCAGAGCACCTCCAGGAGCGGCTTGGCGTGTTGCAGACTTGAGACCTGCACTTTGTTACGAAGCTCTGTCTTTCTCTGCATTCCCTCTTGATAAGCCTGCAGCATTGAGGTAATAGGGGAAAGGACACAGCCTTGTCCTGGGAGATGCAGCTAATGCTGGCTCAATCCTGTATTTGTAACCTCAGTGGATCCATAGATGCTGTTCCCAGTGCCGAACTGTGACAACAAAGAGCCATGGTGGGAGAACGAACACAGGGGATGTCTTAGTGGCAGGCCTAAAAATTTTGATCCTCTACAAAAAATACAGGGAAATGCACAGGCGTGTTGGGGAAACTTACTGAATACAGCTATGGCTCTTTGACAACCAATAAACATTCAGGCTGGAAAAACACCTCTCTGAAAAGTGCTTTTATATGTCTTTTGCATGCACTGTGATTTATTTTTTTAAAGAGATGAACTTGTTGTTACAAGCTGGAATGGACTGAACAAAAAGATGCATGTAGCTATGTATCTAACTGCATTTACGACAAGTTCAACTGGAATACAGAGAAACGTCCATGGCACAATGTGGGTGTTTGTAATGAAAACCAATAGAATTGTTTTATACCTGTCTGTAAGCATGTAACTTAATGTTGTCATTCAGATGAGGAAGTGAAATGTGATAACAGAAGACTTGACATTTAAGTGTTGATGTTTACTGCAAAAAAAAAAAAGGTTTAAAAATTCATGCCACTGATATGCAAAATTCAGAATTTTCATATTCATCATGAAAAATTAATTGCTAGATTGCTTTTTGACTAACCCCTTTATTTTGGTAAAAGATATAAGAAACAACCCATTGGTGAATTTAGAGTCTTTTATTATTTTTCCATATGGTTACCTGCTGAAAGATTATATTAGTTTCTTCCATTCTTTTACTGCTTTTCTTTAGCAAATGTTTATAAAGATGAATTTAAAAATTGTTGCTTTTTTTCAAAAGCTACTTTCATTCAGTGGTACGATTATTTTTTTTAACTAAAATAAAAACTATATTTCTTATGCATGTGTGTGGCTGATGCTTGGTGAATTTCAAATGCAGAGGAATTCATTGTGTGCCACCAGCAGAGAATACAAAGTCTCTTCTAGTCTCCTGTGACTGTAATATCATGATCTCATTTCAGTAGTTGGCAGGTGATAGGCATTTTGGTGGCCTGTGATAGACAGGTCAGATGGTTCCTTCTGGCCTTAATCTCTGTGTATCAATTGTTTGTTTCAATTGTAGCATCATCCCCCTGCTCATTATGTGCAAAGCTGCCCATTTCCCTTGGTTTTTGCACGTGTTAGGCATCAAAATGCTTAGCAGAGTCAGAATTTTTATGGCTTTTGACAGCGACAGAGCAGTGGTTTTGTGAATGGCAGAGACACCTGCGTGTTTGTGTCCAAATATATTTATAACTGATTTAGACCAACTGACATTAACTGAGATTTTACAATGTATTCATCTCAATACATATGGATTCGTTGGGGGCCATAAAAGATAGATATTGCCAAATTACCTGGGGGGCCGTATTAAACCGGAACACGGGCCGCAATTGGCCCGCGGGCCGGAATTTGGACATGCCTGCTTTAAACACTCAAGTCTCCCTTGTAAATCCAGCCCTTGGCTGCTCCCCTGTGGAGATCAAGAGAAGTTTTGACTCATTCAATCTAATTAGGGTGCCACTCCCAGCATAGGGTTGCCACTGTTAATAGCTGGCTCTCGGAATCACATAGCTTTGTTGTAAGTGAACAGCTTGATACCCCCCGAGCTGTGGGCATGCCCTGGATTTAGTGTGAAACTGCACACGACACTGCGGTGGCAAAGCACAAGTGATGTTTGTATATTTCCCTGCGCCCCTCCATGGTGCTGACAATTGCTGTTCCTCTCCCTGAAAATGGAAACTGCGTAGAAGAGGCACAGGTGCTATTGTACAGCCAGCCCCTCACCATACACACATCCCTGCAAAAATAACCTGACCATTTAATGGAGGACTGTCACAAGGTGTGGGGAACCACCGGACCCTGCACCCCCATCCACAGCCAGACAGACTCAGACAGGAGGTAGAACAGAAGGTTTATAGCTTCACAGGGATAGAGTGTAGCATCGTCTTGTTAACACAGGAACAGGAGCAGTCAGTGTAATCCATCTTGGGGATGAGGGGCCCAGAAATAGGGCTCTGGGCCTCTTCCCTGCCCCCCAAGCCAGCTAGACTCCCTGCATCCTAAGCCAGCGGAGACTAACCCACACAGTGTACGTCTACACTTGCTCCTTAGTTCAAACTAGGGATGCAAATGTAGGCGATCGAAATTGCTAATGAAGCAGGAATTTAAATATCCCGCACTTCATTAGCATGATCTTGCCGGCGCATTACTCCGCTCAACCGCTGTTTCGAAACGCGCCAGTGAGATCAGGCTAATGAATGTGGGATATTTAAATCCCCGCTTCATTGGCAATTTCGGTCGCCTACATTTGCATCCCTAATTCAAACTAGGGAGCAAGAGTAGACGTACCCACATCCAACAACTGGCTCAGCCCTGCAAGCAGCCCCGCCTCCTGCGTTCTCTAGCTTCCCTGGGCAAAAGATGTCATCTGATTGCTTCCTCCTCCTAGGCTCAGGTTACAAGAAAGTCTGAGCCATTGTGAATGTGCTGGGCTGGGCAGCCTGGGGCAGCCTCCCCTCAATGAGAGTAACACCCAAAACTCCCATCCTCAACCAGGCATCAATGCAGTGCCCAGGGAAACTAAGGCAGGGCGCATGCGCGTGTGTGCGCACGTGCGTGCGCGCACACACACACACACACACACACACACACACACTCATCACAAGGACTAGATCACACTGCCCCCTAGTGTGTGTAGAATTGCAACAGGCAGTTCTGTTCACTGTGTGGCTTTTCCTGGCTGCTGCATAAACCAGCGAGTCCCAAGCTTTTTCATGACCTCCAAACTCCTGGAGGCCTCTTCTCCTGCATCAATAGCTGCTCTCTGCAGACTAGTTTAGGAAACACGGCTTGAGACTCATAGCCTGGACTAGGAGATGGAGAGCAGTCTGAGGGGGCGATTCTGCCCTCGGACACTGAAACCAATGGCAGTTTGTATGTGTGTTTCTGAGTGGGCTTTGGTTCTTATGACATGGGGCTTGGTTCATCTGCCCCATAGACTGGCAGCCTGGCCTTATGGAGAGCTGGAGCAAGCTGTGTGGAACGCCGAGGCAGGCGCATGAGTCGCAGGAGAAGTTTGCAGGAGGCACCAGGAAGCCAGCCTCCGTGGAATGTGAGCTGCAGCACCTCTGTCAGCAGTGTGAATTTTACAGACGTGGAGTCCAGCATGTGGGTAATTAGGAAAGCTGGGAAGAAATTCAGAAAGAAACGGCTCAGCCTGAAGATAAGGGAAAGGTGTCCTGCTGGAGGATGTTGGACTGTGTAACAGCTGCAAGAAAAGTAATGGAAACCTCATTACAGGGGCCATTTAAGCCACTGCGCCTTACGGTGCACCCTGATGTAGGGAACGCCGAGCACTGAGCTAAAGAACAAGGTAGCGAACGACCCTGTGCAGCCCCGGGGGCCACTTCAAAAATTTTTGAAGTAGCCCTGGGCCACCTTGGAAGGGGTGGGGCTTAAATGGGGTCTGGGGGGTGGGAGAGCCCCTTTGTCCCCCCCTTCCTACTAGGCACCCATGTCCTGGAAGAGGCTTGGCACGCTCCCCCGCCCTCAGGCCAATCAGGGCCTGGGGAGCGCGCGAAGCCTCCTCTGCTCTCCCCCCACCCTGCGAGCAGCGTGCGGCACTTCGAAGGCTTTGGG